CTTTCTTAGTTATCACAACCGTTACACTCTACCGACTCCCCATATATAATGGGCTATTCCGTTTCGATTGCGTGGAAGGACGGAAAAGATATATCAGAGACGCTCCTTGGTTTCGTGAGAAAAAGGAAAGAATGATAGAGCATTTAACGGCTGTTTCAGTGTCAATTTCAAATCTTTTTATTTCTGCCACCTTATTTCTTAGAATAACGACCAGCATTCATATGCATGCATATGATTGTTATTGCAATATTTTGTTAATGTTGGTAAGCTCAAATATTTAACGGTGCGATAAAGGAATTTCTACGGATATTTCACTGTCGTAAAATTCACTATGAGCTTATTCGATCATTAACAAGAATTAAGATCCATACGAAAATTAAAATAAGAAACTTATATTAAGTTAAACATATTAACTCTGAGGTTGGAGTTATTAAGTTCATTTTAAGAACCAATTCACTAGTAATGAGGTTGATTCACATTCTTATTCATGATTCTTATGTCATGACCGAGTCGATCGTAGAGAAGAAATGAGTGATAAAGATGCAGTAATGAATATATAGTAATTCATCGCGCCAAGATCAATCTTAAACAGAATGCAGTCCTATTTGGGACTCATCAGCACTGAGCATCCACTACCGAGAATCGAAACCGGACCGTTTCGATACGACGCAACTGTACCACAGGCCTCGGTGACGAAGACACAAACTAAACTCGATATAAAGCCGCTACTCACTCAGTTCCGCAGTGATACTGATCCAAGTATGCGGATAACCTCGGAAGAGTGCCGCAAGAGCCACTTCTTCTTTTTTATCTTTTTTAGGACATCCAGTGCTTTCTGCGAATCTGTTGGAGATTATTCTGGGCTCGATGAATTACTCTAAGTCGCTTAAAATTTTTCTTCATATATATATATATATATATATATATATATATATATATGTGTGTGTGTGTGTGTGTGTGTGTGTGTGTGTGTGTGTGTGTGAAAAGTGTATATAAATATAAATAAATATATATATGCATAATTATTTATATATTATATGCATGGTACATCGATCCAACCAAATATATATATATATATATATATATATATATATATATATATATATATATATATATATATATATATACTTATATGTACTAGCAGCATGGCCAGGCGTTGCCCGTGCTTGATTAAAACATCGTACGACTCATACAGCAATCGCTATCACTTCTTAAAATATTTTTGCCCTTCCTTGCCTTTAAAGGAGTGCCCTTTGTCGTGCTGATGTTGCTACATACCTTACTTCTTGCCTATCTCACACTGCGAATTTTTTCTAAGCTCTTTACTAAACATTAAATCTGTTACGAAAAAAGAACTAAACAAAATGAACACAAAACGATCAGCCTTAAAAAAAAAAGGACTCGTAACAGGAAAAATCGAATGAAAAAAGAATGTTAACAACAAATACTTTTTCACACCGAACCCATTTCTGCGGAATCAGAATCAATGTTGAGTTTAAGCAAGCGAATGAGCCAATTGGAGTAAAGTGCCATGCAGATTTAAATTTTTCCCACTTGTGACGAATGCAGCTATCGATTTTTTTATTCTTTTTTTTTTTTTTTGCATGCTAGCATGCTAGTTAACATTCGTGTCAGTCAGCTGTTGGCTCTCACGCTGGCCAGTAGAATCTTCCTTCCTATTCGTGACAGCCAGCTATAGGCTCTCACTCTGGCCAGTAGAAAATGGCTGCAAACTACAGGAAAACTGCTGTAGAAGCATGAAAAAATCGATTATTTCCACTATCGATGGGAATTGGGAAATGCAAAGTCGGTCTTGGCTTTCCCGCTAACTTGGAGCATGTGCATGTAAATTTTGGTGCAAATCCGTCGA